CCATACATTATTTCCTTCTTATCTTATGTTAGTCGGAACCACATCAAACGATATAATTACAAAAGGGGTTTCTAAGAAGAGTAATATTATTTGTTGGTCTATAAAAGAACTCGCTGTATTTTTATTTTTTTTTATTTTTAATTAAAATTCCCATACACACACACACACACGCCCGCGTATTATTATTATTATTATTATTATATCCACCTTTATGTTCTTCGAATATTACAAGCAAAAATTGTCTTTTTATTTTTCTATAATATCAATTTGAACGTTATACAATACATTTATATTTAAAAAAAATTCTGGCAACTTTATATTATCTCGTTAAAAAAATTTTGAAAATTTATTTTCGACGAGTTATTAAACGTGTAGAACGAACAATAGCTGAATTATGGATAACATTAATGATTATATTTTAACGAACCGTTCTTTTTCATTCGTGATTAAAACCACAACAATTACAACTACAACTACAACGACAACAACAATGACGATATGCGAAGGAATCGAAGATTGGAGTCGGATGCCGCAACCGGTTGATACGATCGGTCAAAACGTTTATAATAACTTTAGTCGATGTAATTAAAAAGCACTTTGCCCGACGGACCAATCGATCGATCGATCGATCGATCGAATCACTCAATATTTGATGGTAGTTTACAATGTTTCGCGTAACTAATTTCGTATGGTTAATTCATTTCTAACATATAACACAACATATATATTATAAGAAATTTATATATATATATATATATGGAAAACATGTTAATATAAATATATTCTATACGTTACGATAAGAAGATATTTTATATTGGAAATACCAATCAAATTAATTCGTTTATTCTTAACGTCTGTCCGCCCCCTCCTCCCCGCCCCCTGCCCTCCTCGATATACGCATATATTATTATTCGTATATTTAATATACGAAATTATTTAAATTTCGCCAATTAATTTGTAAAAACCTATTTTGCGTGGCCTTTAAACGATCATTAACGTCGGTCAAAATTATTCAAACTTATTTTATTCATAAAAGAGAAAGAAAGAAAGAAAGAAAGAAAGAAAAAAAGAGATAAAGAGATATTATAATATAAAAAGAAAGACAAGAAAAAAAAAAGAAAAAAAGGATGCGAAATTCTTTTTGGGAACCGCGACACGGTGACTAGTAAAATTTCATTGGTTGTCCACAAGTTGGCACCTCGCATGTTATCGCGAATAAGCGCGTAAATTGCGTCGAGAGTATTATAATGTCTGTCTCGAAGAGTAGAAGGAAAAGGAAGAGGGTGGTGATAGGGGGAGAAGAAGAGGAAGAGAAGGAAGGGAAGGGAAGGGAAGGAGGAGGAGGAGGACGTTAACAGCAAAACTTGCAAATCATTTCCACCTGCGGTTTCTTAATCGAAAGGTAATAAAGGACGTACTTTCGTAGTAATCATACGGTCCAAATGTTCCTTCGATATGTTGGATAATATAATATGTTAATGTTTTATTATTTACAAATATTCCTAGTCATCGTCGCGCGTTCTATTTTCTTTCTTTTCTTTTTCTTTTTTTTTTATTTAATCGAGATCGAATACATTGATCAACGTTTCTAAAGAATTGTCATTATAAGTTAGATCTAATTTCTTCAACTAAGAAATCAATGATGATGATGACGATGATGATGATGAACTACGATACCTTTTCTTTTATATATCGTGTATGTTTCTGTACAGTACATGTGTGTGTGTGATCTCTATCCGGAGAGAGTAGAGAAGGTGGTAAAAGTTAGTGAACTTTCGTTTCTCCTTTAATACGTTTCGAATACGATACGTTCTTGTAATAGAATCGGTACGAAAATGGGATTCGAGATAACGATCTTTAACTGTTACGCGACGAGTTGTGGTACTTTTGTATTGTACTTAAAAGTCAATCGACAGATTTCTCTTAACTTCTTTTTTTGTGTTTTTTTTTTTTTTAATCTTTACTATATATAAGCGATTAAATCTACGTAATGTATCATCGTTAATAACAATTCTCGTTAATCAATCGAAATGTAATCTTTTTTCGTTTTTTTTATATATTATATTTACGAAGAAATGTTGTACTCTTTCGGTACGTTACTACGTTAAGAATTTGTTAAAAATATTTTCTACAATATTTCTTACTTGTAAGTAATCAATTATAAATTTTTAAAAACAATTCTATACATACAATCGTCTTCTTAACTAACTCGTTTTATATTTATATAACAAAATATATCTATAATATATGTATTATAATTGGTATACGTTTAAAGATTTAAACGAAGTAACCATTCGATATATTTTAACCATGTAAAGTAAGTAAATGCATAAACGGATTTATGATTTTATAATGCAGGTGCGATATGCATTCTCCTTGTTTCTTTACGTTATATATATTTTTATAGATTAATATATATAATGTATCAAATTATCGAATAATGTAACGATACTTTTTTTTAATCATCCTACAACTAAAATATTCTATAAAGATTTTCTATAAAGATTCATATCTTATATAAAAATAAAAAACAAAATATATATATATTATATATATATTTTAATATTTGTTATATTAATGTTAATTATTAATTAATGTGTTAAAAAATACATTGTATATATATATAATATTTCTCGTATCCAAAAATATTATCATCCTGTTCGTCGAGTCATCACGAATCACGTGGGAATTGGGTCTTCTTTCGTTTCCTTTTATCATCCAAACACAACTTATTCTTTTTTCCAACCTTATTTATTCTCATTTATCTATTATCATATAATATATGAAATATATAAAATCCCGAGCGTGAAATCTCGCGTTCGTAAGATTCGTCGGAAATCATAAAAGAAAATCTTTTGCACGTGATACAACAACACCGTGCACATGATCGAGCACAGAAAAAAAAAAGGATTGCTTTGCTTTTTTTTTTTCTTTTCCCCCCATCTTTCTCCCATACCTTTACGATTTATCGCGATTTATATTGCCAACCGTGAAAAAAACACACGCGAGCCAACAACTCCGTTGCATTTTAATCGATATTTACATACGAGAGGAGAGGAGGACATCGAATTTTGCATATTGATCGGCAGTTGTTGCATCGGATGCGTATGTCCGATCGTTAATCGATCCAACACACAACGATCGAAGTACTCAATTTTTTTCTTTTTTTTTTTTTTTGTATTATTCTGTAATTATATCTGGGGAAAGAGAAACAAGGAGATATTCTCGAACGGCAGTGTGAAAACATCGAGATTGAATTTTTAAAATGGGGTACGATCGAACTTTCGCTTTTCATCGATATCAACGAGGTCATCGTCATCGCACAGATCTTTTTTTAAACTATAACATAATTATAATAAAGTATTTTTTCGTTGTCATAACATAATCCAGTTAAAATAATATTATTGCATATATTTTTATTCGTATAAATTATAACGAAGATATATAACTACATATACGAAAGAAAAAAA